GAGAGAGAGAGAGAGGGGCTTTCCATGAAAGAGCCCGGGTCGTCCGAACGCTTGAACCAAAGCCACTGCACTCCCGCTCGCAAAGCGTACTCGGAGGCTACGAGAAGTTTTAAGAAGCGCTTAGACAGTCCAAACTCGTGCGAATCTTTGCCTTTCGCGCCGCTGTGGCTTCCAGCTTCCGCCTGCGCTCTCATATTATCTAGCTAAAAGGATCTAGCTGCAGTGAATTTTTCTTAAAAGGCCAAACGTATACATTGTCCTATTTATATTGGAGAATCTTTTTAGTTAATCGTATATTATAATAGTTTTATTTTTATCTATTACTATCACTATAGTCAATTCATTTTTTATCTATTTATAATAACGTGTCAATCCTGTAATCATTTCTATTAGAATTTTATTACAAGCAAAAAATTAATTTTGCAACAACTTTTCGGTAAATTTATTGTTAAATGAATTATTTAATCTTTTTGATTCTACTCGTTTATTCTATCGAAACGTAACGTTTTTGCATATCTATCTCGATAATCGTTGTTACTTCGTGCACACGTAGTGATTTGTTTTTTTTTTTTTTTTTTTTTCAAATGCGAGCACTGAACGATTTAATTCTCCCAGTCGGGCTCCTCGTCCGGTCGAACGGCGGGGTTAAAATACGCAAAAAAACTACAGTGAGAGAGCGCGGAGGGGTGCGTGACACGTAGCACATTGCCGTCGACCGCCGTAATCACGATGGTCGATGCGAAAGCATCGTCGACTATCGGACGTCGAATTTCGCTCATTCGGAAGTGCTCCTACATCGACAGACGAGCGTGCCGTGTTTTTTTTTTCTGTTGATATTGCGAAACGTGACACCCAATAGAAACGCGACGGACGTCCCATAGCCCTTTTCACTAACGCTCTTTCTCGCTCCCACGATCCGTTTGTACGCGTCCCGTTGTCGCTTCCTCGCGCAGCAGATAGCCGCAAACGCAGTAAAAGGCGTCGAGTGTTTGCCGCACAGTTAAGTGGTACCATATTGTCGTATAGAGAGGGTTCTCGCCTTTGGTTTGACAATTGGGCACGTGTCGATGTAAACGCAATCGCATCCGTTGAAAGCCCAGTTCATCGAAAATGAAAGATCGTATGACAACAATTGTCAGTGGCGAGATTATTCTGTTGAATTCATCAAAGATATATTTTGCATCAATAACGCATATATATATATTTTTTT